GAATTTGTGTTTTTCTCTTATGTGGGCCTGTAGTTGTTCATCTACTAGTTTCAAATTAATATTGAGTACATGGGGTACTTGCCTTTCCATTCTTGAGAGAGGAGAATAGCCTACTTTGCAAAGTCCCAAAAGCTGCAGATAAATAGGTATGGAGAGAAGGGAATACTTACACACTGTTGGGGGGGGGGGTTTGCAAATTAGCCTTTTTGAAAAGAAGTATGCAGAATTCTCAAAGAACTAAAAGTAGACCTTCCTTTTGATCCCACAATCCCATTACTAGGTATCTACCCAGAGGGATAAAAATCATTTTATCATAAGGACATTTGCTACCCAGAGGGATAACAATCATTTTATCATAAGGACATTTGCACTCCAATGTTTATAGCAGATCAATTCACAATTACAAAGATGTGGAAACAATCCACATGCCCATCAACCCTGGATGGACAGATAAACTGTGGTATATGTATACAATGGAGTACTACTCAGCCATAAAAAGATGGAGACCTTACATCATTTACATAGAGGAGCTTTTAATATGGAAGATTCAGTTACACAGTGAAGGGCTAGGAAAATGAAAAATAATTATAAATGCACTGCCTCATGACATTAACTTTTGAAGAATAAGATATTTCCCTTCCACCCTAGCTCTATAGTCAAATTTTCATTGTGGAACATTCAACCCTCCATCTGCCAGTTCTGGGAAGAATACAGAACATGAGCTCTAGAATGAGCAGCCTATATTCAAATACCAAGTTTTTACTTCTCAACTACATGACTCCTATGAGACTTTCAAGGTGTTTCCTTTTGTTTTGTGTTTTGGAAGCTGAGTCTCTCTCTTTTATCCAGGGTAAAGTTCTGTGGCATCATCATAGCTCTCAGCAACTTCAAATTCCTGGGCTCAAGTGATTCTCCTTCCTCAGCCTCCTGAGTAGCTGGGACTGCAGGTGTGTGCCACTATGTCCAGCTAATTTTTTCATTTTTTTTGTAGAGGCAAGGTCTTACTCTTGCTCAGGCTGGTCTCAAACTCCTGGCCTCAAGCAATGCTCCTGCCTAGGCCTCCCAGAGTTTCAAGGCTCTAAAGAGAGAAAGGTACATGAATAACTTAATGAGATGATACATATGTCAGCATTCTAGGCATATGGCAACCACATAATCCATACTATTATTAACCTTTCTGGTGAATAAATCATCCTACTTCTTTTTTCTCAATAAATTAGAGAGGAAAAAATGGGTTTTGAAGATGTTTTCCATCCTCCTGGCTTCTTAAAGGGGTTAATTCTCTAATTTAACCCTATGATATTGATTTGACTGTTGGACATACATAAAAGCAGCAGAACAGTGAAGAGTGAGCTGACTTAAATTAATTAAGACATGAGATCTGGCTGGGTGTAGTGGCTCATGGCTGTAATCCTAGCACTCCAGGAGTCCGAGGTGGGTGGATTGTTTGAGCTCAGGAGTTAGAGACCAGCTTGAGCAAGAATAAGACCCCATCTGTACTAAAAATAGAAAAACCATCCAGGCATTGTCAAGGGCGCCTGTAGTCCCAGCTACTTGGGAGGCTGAGGCAAGAGAGCTGCTGGAGCCCAAGAGTTTGAGGTTTCTGTGAGCTGTGATGACATCATGGTACTCTACCCAGGCTGACAGTAAATCTCTGTCTTAAAAAAAAAAAAGAGTAGGATCCAATCCTGGCTACATCATTAAATTTGCTGTGTGAGACTTTGGTGACTTTGGGCAGGTCAATTAATTACTCTGAAGCATTTTTGAAATGCAAAATGAGGTAATTTAGTATAAATGCTTTTGATCCTATGATTCTATAAAATAGCAAAAGACCAAAGTGAGTATGGAGTATTGTCTTGCTTTCATGCTATTTTATTTCAGGAACGTTTTCAAATAAAAATGATAATATCACACACATCATGATAAAAGCATGTTTGGTATAGGCAGCCCACATTCTGAGTTGGCTCAGTATAGTAATATTTTATAAGTGCACATCAGAAAATTAAGCTCAATGTACTTATCTGTCATGAAATGCATATGCATAGAGATTCCTTTCATATCAAGTGGCACAGCAAATGAGAGGTTGAAACCGAGTGAATATCAACTATGAGAAAACACTGACAGAGAATGGAGACTACAAATGGCCTAAAATATACTACTGTCACTTAAAAATAGGTATTTGACTGTCCAGTTCCTGTATTATCTATCTATACAAGAGTGTTTGGTTCCTCTTCTGTCTTCTTCCTACAGGCCGGTTGTGACTCTGAGAGCTATCTGTTCTTTCAGTGGGTCAAGTCTTGCTGCCTTGTGGATTTTCCCCAGTCATAACTTCCCTCTTGCCATTTGGGGGTGGGCTGTTTGCATCCGAGTGGCAGGACTAGGCCTAATTCTCTTCTGGAGATAATATACCGTTGGCTGCTGGTATGTGATGCTGAGCACCCCGGGCTGGCTTCTTAAGGCCGAGGGCTCTGTGCATCTCCCAGACAAATTTCTGACCCCAAATATTTACATTTATACAAATCAGAACTAAAAACAAAGGTACTTGCAGCAACTTCTAAATGGCGCCTCATATATGGAACTAGAATTACCTGATAAGTCATAAACTTCATTATTCTTTAACTTCTGTTTCTCCCATGAGACCATAAGCTCCACAGTGATGCTCAGGGCTACCTCCCCAGTGCCGAAAGATGCCTGGCGAGTGACAAGAGTTCCACAGATGGGTGGCGCCTGTGGCTCAAAAGGGTAGGGCTCCGGCCCCATATGCTGGAGGTGGCGGGTTCAAACCCAGCCCCGGCCAAAAAAAAAAAAAAAAGAGCTCAACAAATGACGCTGATGGCTGATCAGGGGTTTTCTCTCTGTTAGGCACTATTTTTTGACTTTAATGAAGAATCTCTTTTTTTTTTTTTTGAAACAGAGTCTCACTATGTTGCCCTGGGTAGAGTGCGTGGAGTTGCAGCTCACAGCAACCTCAAACTCTTGGGCTTAAGTGATGCTCTTGTCTCAGCCTCCCAATAACTGGGACTACAGGTGCCCACAATGCCTGGCTATTTTTTGTTGCAGTTGTTACTGTAGTCTAGCTAGCCAAGCTGGGATCAAACCCACCGCCCTTCGTGTATGCGGCTGGCACCGTAACCACTGTACTACAGACATGGAGCCAATGAAGGATCTCTTGTAATCTTTCCAATAATCCCATGAGATGAATACTTCTATAATGGAAGAAACTGAGGCATAGGGAGTTTAAGGAACTTGCCCACACAGCTATGAAGTGGCACAGCTGAGGTTCAAATGCAAGTACTTTGCTTCTAGAACCTTAAGTTCCAATTATGAAGTGGAACATTAATCATTCAACCATTTATTCATTATCATTCATCATTTGGGGTACCCTGATGCCAGAGCCTACAATGATGCCAGGGTTCAAGGATCTGAGCCTATATGATGTTATTAAAGAAAGTCAGAGGCCTTGGGTTCAAACCCTAACCCCAGATTCCCACACTGACTTTGGTCAACTTTCTCCTGCTGCTCAGTCAGAGGTTGGATATTCACTCAGGTCCCTGTCCATTGTAAAGCCGAAGTGCTAGAGTCATGATCATGATGGGCATAAGCTTACATGTAGACATCTGCTGGCCACATAGTATGTTCCTTCATCTTCTACAAGGAAGAATCACCAAAATATCTTCAACAATCAAGCAAGTTACTCAACTTCTCAGAGCCTCAGTTTCCTCATCCGCAATTAGGATATAATAGCACGTACTTCAAAGGGTAGAGGTGAAGATTAGAAAGAAGCCTAGTAAAGGAGCTGACACAGAGTAATAATTTCATAAATAGTAGCTCAGTTTATGATGGTCACAAACAGTGCTAAGAGATCAGTCTGGAGGAGGAGAAAATCTTTTCAAAGCCCCCAAACCAACCAACCAGTCAAAAAGGCATTCTGAAATTCAAGTATTTAAATAACTTCTAAGAGCAGACTATATATTTGTTACATCCCCCAAGCAAAATTTCCACTTTGGAGTTTTTTCCAAAAAATGGACTAACACAGACAAGATTGAGTTAACTTTTGATGGAATAACAACAACAACAACAACAAAAAACTATTGGGTGGCACCTGTGGCTCAGTGGGTAGGGTGCCAGCCCCATATACCGAGGGTGGCAGGTTCAAACCCAGCCCCAGCCAAACTGCAACAACAACAAAAAAAATAGCCAGGCGTTGTAGTGGGCGTCTGTAGTCCCAGCTACTTGGGAGGCTGAGGCAAGAGAATCGCCTAAGCCCAGGAGTTGGAGGTTGCTGTGAGCTGTGTGATGTCACACTCGGCACTCTACCAAGGGCGATAAAGTGAGACTCTGTCTCTACAGAAAAAAACAAACAAACAAAACTATTGTGATTTGGGGAGCTCACATCTGAGTACTGAAAAGCTAGAAAATAACATTAGGTATCATTTGCCTTCTGCCAGATCTGTGATATGTATTGTCTTACTGAGTCCCCTCTGCTAAAGATGATGTTTGTTCTGTTTTTTAGATGAGGGCCTAGAGGCTCAGAAAAGTTAAGTATTTTGCTCAGGGTTACACAACTGATGATTAGTCATGCCAGAACTTACTTAGTCTGCCTGAAATGCTGATGGTCTTAACAATGTAACCACATTCCTCCCCAAGGGCAGGGTATCTGTGGCCCCAGAGACCCCCCACCCCCACAGGATAGCCGTGTCCACAACATGTGCAAGTGACTTGACGGAAGGCATGTGGGGGCTCACGCGGCCTTGGGTTTTAGTCCCTGTTTACCTACAGAATCTGGCAGCTATGGACGAGTCATTTAACTTTCCTGTACCCTGTTGATCAAACAGAATGTACTGGATTAAAGTTTTTTGATCCAAGTCTTGTGTAACGTTAATCACTTCTATTTTATACCCAGGAGGTCAGGGACAAAAGAGAAGCCAGGACATCGGGAGCTGACCCTCTGTCCCAGGAGCCAGGCTTGGGAAAGAGTCGGATACGTTTGTTAGCAAACAGAACTGGGTGGCTCTCAATTGCCCTCCATCTCAAAAACTTTAAAATTCTACTAAATTTTACATACAAGGACAGGAGAAAGGGGAAGAGAGGGACTTTGAGGAGTCATGGGGGAGTCATGGGGGCTCTCCTTGGAGCTGTTATTGCACAGCAACCACAGTGTACCTACGTAGCTTGTAAGCTTATTTACGATACATCTGGAGTGGGGGAGCTGGTGGCAATAATGAAGAATTAGTTCTCCATTAAATTCTTCCTTTTGAAATGATCAGTACTGCACAGGCCAAGCACTCAGTAGGTGCCTATAGAAATAAACTAAAAGGAAAACAGACCCGCGTCAAATTGATAGAAGTTGAGCTGCTGCTAAAGATGAATGAACGTGTCAAAGATGCTAACAATTTCTTTCCTTTGTTCTCAGCCACCCATCCTGCCATCAGCCATTTTCAGCCTCAAGATCAATTCTTCTTCAGGCGAATGAGCACACTTCTTTCAGCGGGATAACCACAGGTAAACCTCCCCCTCTCCGCCATCCCACAGGGTTGGAATCTGAACAAAGGTGAACTGTCTGGAAGCTAAAGAATTCTTCTTGTTTTCATTTGTATCTTTGCCCAGGGTAGTGGCAAATATTGTTTCCAGTTTCCAGCTTAGTTTTAGAGCTCAAAGGATAAAGTGCTCCTACAAGAAAGAATGAGGAGAAAGGAAAGAAGGTAAGGACAAAAACTAAACTAAACTATTTGAGTATTTCATTCATTCAAAGAACAGAAGCCTTCTCTTCCCAGGCGAGGTGACAGTATACTACAACCTTGGTCTTACCTACCAAAATCCCCATCTGCAGATATGGAGAGTAACAAACTGAGGGAATCTTTCTTTTTGTATTGCTATTCCAAAAACAGGACTTAAGAATAAAATCTTCAGACTCTTTGCTGATGTTTCTACCATGAAATCAAGCGGCCTAATAAGCCACATTCTTCAAGCCACAAAAAGGTTGGCACATAATAGGTGCTCAGTAAATATTTGTCAAATGAATTAAAGAACAAAAGAAAAAGGCCCAGAACGTATGTACCGAGGGCTGTCAACATAAGTGGATTGATTGGTTGACATTTTAAAAGATCTGTATATCTTTGAATTCAGGTCCAGAATAGCCTCTCCCTCATCCTTCTTCAAAATGTTTTACAATATCCTTCATTATTCAAATCTCAGACCAGGGTTTTCTTCTGAGAAGCTCTCTCAGATCAGTCTAGCCCTGAGGAGATGGTACCTTCTTTTGAGTTCTATCAACTCTTATTACTACCACTTATTAACTATGTTGTGCAAGGTGGCAACTTTTGAAGTTACTTAACATTGTCTTCAGCCTGGTAACTTTTGGGGTTGTCTCCCCACCTAGAACTTGTAGAGGCCAGGCCTGTCTGTCCACACCCACCTCTGTAAGTGTTCTTAGGGCACTGGAACTAAGTCTTCTAGAGCCATGACAGACTAAAGCTGGCATATGTTTGAGCGAACATTATCACTTATTCCTACATTCCACCTCTTCCAACGAGCTGTAAGGTCTTTATCAGGTAGACAGGTATACCAAAGTACTGATGAGTAAAATTACATATGACTACGGTTTGCTTAAACTATTCCTAAAAACATGATGGACTGAGATCGGGAAGTAGTTAACCATTGCTGAAGCTGGATGCTGGTGACTGGGTGCTAGTTACACTATCTTCTGTACTTGTGTAATGTAAGCAGATCACGAGGTCCCATGGTTAACAAATTAAATTGTATAACTTAGAAAATTATCATTTCTGGCTCAAATACTAGTGAGGGTATCATTCTTCTAGGTATCATGTTTAATATATTAAATTATCCAGCCTAGAAAATTAGAATTTTTGGTCAATCCTGGCAAGGGTATAGTGAAAATGGCACAGATAGAACTGTTGATGACAGTAAAAATGACTGTGATATCAAGAGATGTTACTGTTATACATGCCAAGAACAACGCAAATATGCAAATCTTACGCCAATATTCCTACATGTGTGACTCTACTAAAAGAAAGTCATCCAAAAGAGGAAACAATTTGCAGTGCAGTGTCATTTAAATAGTGATGATTAGAGATAATAATAGACTAGCTATTAAGTATGAAGAACACACTCTGTTTCAAGAGCTATGTTAAATGCTTTATATACATTATTCTTCTCTAAGCAACCCTTCGAGGGCTGCATTATCATTTCCTTGGCACAGAAGAAGATAGCACATCCCCAAGATCACCCCGCTAGGAACTGGCAGAGGGTGAAATCTGGGTCCAGCTGGTTCCAGGGCCCACACTTTCCAGTCCTACACTAAAGTGCCCTGAAAACCAAATGCCAGGCAATAGGGGGGGTTTACTTAAATTATGGCACATCCACTGGATGAATGTTGCATAATTAAAGAAGTATATTCATGAAGCCAAGCAGCATGGAAACATGCGAAGTGACTAAAATACAAAATGAACAGTGTTTATGAAGGCATCTAAGAAATGTGCATATGAGAAATGCGTGTGTGGAACAGCACGGCGGGGAAACTGCACACAGCGAAAATCATGTTGGATCACAAGGAGTTCTCCCAGTTATGGGCCATGTGATTATTTTTTTTTTGAAAAATTGCAGGTGGGGTAATTTGAACTGAGATGCACACAACCACTGATAGAACCAAGGCACTTTAGGAAGGGTGTTTTCCATAAATAGTTCAAACCATTCTTCAGTTAGGTTTTCTTCTTCTTTGGAACACCTCTAAAACTAAAGGAAGAAATATTCCTCTTCTCCTGCCCCCGATATTTTCCCAATGACCTCTGCTAGGCATTCACCTACTTTGATCAGGAAGCAAGAATTATCCTACAGTTTCCTCCTGCAGCAGATGCAGAGTAGAAGGTGACAAGATGAATGTCTTAAATACACCACAAGAGGAAAAAAAAAGACAACAGCTTAAATGAATCTACGAAAGATTGTTTCATGATTGAGTATCTCTCTGACTCTTGTGAAATCTTCTCACAAGTCATTTGCTATTAGTGTGACTGAAAAAGGCACCAGGAACTAGGAGATCCAGTCTCCATCTTATCATCATCTAGCCCCAGCTGCGTCGACCAGACTGCTAATCGCCTCAAAATCCCACTTCACAGCCCAGCTTCCTATGCTCACTTTTCTCTTTCTCCTCTTCACCTTCCCTGGAAAGATACATCAGACTGGTTCCCAGAGACAAGTTCACGGTGAGATTATGGATGTGGAAGTGCTTTGGAATCTATGAAATGCTGTACAGATGGGAGGTTATCTTGATGAAAAAGCTGATATGTGCCCTTCTGTGTTTCTTTTGCCATAAATGAATTCCAGAGATGTTCCGTGGGGAGGGGAAACCCCCTACAACTAACTAGATCCCAGGTTATCCCTCAACTGCCAGAACTAGGGTTGCCATAAATAATCAGCTTTTTATGACAAAGCTTCTGCAACTGCCCTGGGGATCATTATCACCTGGAAAAAATGCTAATCTGTGAGCCAAACCACATGACCAGTTGTGATTCTATGTGGTATTCGTCAGTACCTGTCACCAAGATAACAGCTTAATCTTGAAAAGGGGAGGTGAGAATATTTTAGAGAGAGAGAGCCCTTCAAGAGACTCCCCTTTAAAAAGCTAAACAAAGAGAAAAGGTTTTGAGGAAAGAAGGAAAACAGAAGGAGCCAGAGAGCCAACTGGAAGAGAAGGCTGTGCCAAAGCCACCAACCTCCGGGGAGTTAGTGCAACTTTTGTTGAAGATTATGGAAAAGCTACTGTTTCAAAGCCTCTGGACGTAAGAGGGAAAAACACAAGAGACATTTTGCTGAACAGAGAGCCTTAAACAATTTAAGTTCAAACAAACAGAATTCCAGGAATTAGGAAGAGAGGAAATTGCAAGGTGCTCTGCAAATACTGCGACGAAAAGGATGTTTAACTATTAAATGTCAGTGAAAAAAAAGGAGACTTTGTTGTGATGGCATTTATTATTGTGGAAGATTGGTAAGGACAGGAAATAATAATAGTAACAGTAATTGTAATAATAAATGGTGGTAGAACTAGCAGCCAGGCTTTTTTGATCATTCATTAGGGGCAGATTGTGCCGAGCACTTTGTAAGCGTCATCTTCTTTAATCTCCATGGCAACCTTGGAGCTCAGTCCTACTAATGATTCCCTTTATAGATGAGGAAACTTTGCAGACAGGCTGTACAACTTCTTTGAGGTCACAGTGACAGGACTATGATTCAAACCCAGATTTGCTTAAAAGCATAGGCTTTGAACCCTTTACACACAGGTATATAATTACTAGGTCTCACCGAGCAATGCTATTTTTAAAGATTACTGACAATTATGAAGTTCAGAGCTGATGGTCAACTTGGTCAGCATTCTGCCTTTTTGCCTTCTATCCTCAAGACAAAATGAATGAACTACTAACCGGTCCATTTTAGTAGCTGTGGATATGTTTCCTAGCAAAGGATCAGAATAATCTGGAGAGTTTTTCTTTATTTATGGCCATTAAAGAACTAATTATATACCAGAATTCTCAGAGTAAAATATCTTAGTGTCATCAATGTTTACATATTATTTTTAATAACCCAAGCATGCACTTGAAAAAAAAAAACAGAATGAAGAAACTATGTGAGGTAACAAGGTCAGGGGTACATAGCCAACTAATTATTGAACACTGTTAGGAACCCATGTACTGGAATCTAGCACTCCAAGTCTGAATTCTGACTTTACCACACATTTGTCCTGGGACCCTGCATGAGGGAGTAAATCTTTCTGAGCCTCAGTTTCCTCATCTATAAAATGGGGTTGAATAGAGTACCTCCTTCAACCCTGTTGTGAAAACTGCACAAGATAATTCAAGGATAGCACAGTGCTGGGCACAGTGAACATTAGATACTATTCCTGGCACAGTATACAAAATAGTCACACCATTTCATATACATGATCCCTGTACTTCATGCCACATTCTCCACAAGCTATAGAATATTCAGGCATGGAATGAGTTATAAAATGACATTTACAAAAGCACCCACTTCAGAATCTTGCCCAACTTGAGGCCTCCTTTTCTTCTCCCCACATCATAGTCAGTGGTCAGGGAGGGAAACAATCTCTCTCTCTGTTCTTTTCTGCTGGGATTTGGCTATTTGACAAATGCTGATTACATGATGGCAGCTTTTCTGACAAATTCCATTAGCATCTTAGAAACCCATCATCAGAACTAGACAGGCAGCAATGCTTTCTGTTTGGTTTTATTTGTAACGCTGTGGAGAATCGACTAACACCGCTGTCGATCTCTTCATTATCACATAACAGCAACTCAGGGAGCCTTCGTTTTTATAAGCTCACCAGAGTCCAACTACTCCATTCAAGACTTTCATTGCTTGTGCTATGGGCACCTGGAGTCAATTATGGAGGCGCATCAAGAACAAGCAGCTCAGGCTGCAGTGCATTCTGGGCCGTGGCTCACTCAGCACCGATTCCTCTCACTTCTGACAACAGCTCTGCAAGTTTATTGTGGAAAACTGCCCCTCCCCAACTCTTACTGCTCACGGTTTCTGTGAAACTGAGCTCACTATCATTCAGAGTACCTGTCATTAGAACTAACCAATGAGCCACCTTTTCCTTCTGGTCATAACGACCCGTTCAG